ATGTAGTGCAATGACCGACTGAATATCGGACGGTTGTTTGTGTTCAAGGAGAATTTAATTTCACTATTTGTATTTTGTAATGTATACCTATTTATTTAAACGTGTACAATATTCCTTGCTAAGGAGTGGAATTGATTGCCAGAGTCTGTATTTCCTGAAAGGTATAATGTCTTCAAGGTACGAGTGAATAGGTTGCTTATGGGTCAACGTGTTCCGTCATAGGCAACTTCATCGCTTACCACCAGGCGAGATAGTGGTCTAATGTCGGCCCATCAAATATAAAAAAGTAACGCTTGCGTTGTTAGCTGCTGTTGAGTGAAGGTACCGGAGACGTAATTATTCCAATTAAAAACCGTTCTGCATTATCTATAATGCTACCAGATAGGATCAAAGATTCATAGGTTTTAAAAAGCAGGTTTGGTATCGAATTTTCGATAACTTCACGCCTGTCTCCTATGTCGGTAGGCAGGGACTATGGAACGCCAATTACTACAATTCCTACATACCTCTTTCGCTTCATCAACAGTCATCAATCTTTTTATGCATGCTCGTCGGTTAAGGGTACTTTTAATATGTTCCTTTTTTGATATATCGCCAATGGGGTCAGTATATGTCCGTCTACATATCCGCTCTGTATACTTCTTTCGTTACTCTACTACAATACTTTTACTATCTAATTTTATCGGGATAACGAATAAAGCCAAAATATCTTGAACTTTAACAGATTTCTTTTAATATCTAATATTATCATCACGACATGTCTAAAACGACATATATAGAAAACGTATCATTTTTGAAAATATTGAAGTTTTGCAGCTAGAAATATGCCGATTGTGCTAAAATTTTTACCTATTTAAGCTTGAGTGAAGATCTGCTACAATAGGGTAGTTTCCTAAATTTTATTTCAATGTCCGTCTGGTACATTAATTTAAAACTTTAGACACGTATTTTTACTTTTCTCACAAACTTAAATACTTTCGACGATATATTAATTTGAAACATCGTGTGACGTCACAGCGTGCCACATTTTGTAGCACGTTATGACGTAACAACCTCCCACTCCTAAACTTGCGCCATTTTATCTAAGTATTGCAACTTAATACGAGAAAATAAAAAAATACGTATCTAATATTTTTTTATTATCTAACTGACGGACTAATTAGATTTTTAATTTTGATACCCTGGAAACTACCCAATTATTTCTCTAGTAAAATGACAATATTGCTAAAAATATGTATTGTGATATTCATTTCTTCGCCCCTGTAGAACTTAAACAATATGTATTGTATACGCATAAATACACAGGTTACCGGTACGATATGATCTATACCGTTCAGTGCAGGTATTAATTTGTATATCATCTTATGGACTATCGGGAGACATACTAAATTAACTAAAAATCGTGGGTTACTAACGTGAACACTCAACTCATCTGATTATAGTCTTGCGCCGATCTTAAGCAAATAAAAAGGCTCTGGTTCGATGCAGAAGTAAGAACCGCATGGTGTCTTGAGTCAGAAAGAGTCTGATACTCCTTCAAATCTCAGTCAAGGCGGGAAAAGTCATTAGATGTTTTTATAATAACTATCGTGAGACATACTAAATTAACTAAAATCGCTGGTTACTCACGTGAATATACTGAGAAAAGCTCTACTAGTTTGGACCCATAGCGGGGTTCTTCCTCATTTGCAGCGTGCGCGGTCGCGGCGATGTCGCGAAGCCTACAAACTACGGGTGTAGGTTGACAACCGTGAAAGGACCTGTGGTTCGAACCTTATACCTTATATTCACGCGAGGAATCCGCGATTTTTACTTAATCTTATGAAGTTGTTAAGAAAGAGTTTTGTATGCAAGTTAACCCTGCATTAGTCGGTACCTACCTACCTGTATCGAAAATTTGATTATGTAAGCCCCTATACACCGTGAAATCTGTTTCGTTTCCGTCCCGAAGTAAAATGATTCTGGGTCAGTAATACAATAGTTTTACAAAGAGATAAAATGTTTAAAAACAAAAAATAACTGGTGAACCATTGCAAAAAAAAAAACTTCGGAAGCGCATACGAACTCATTACAGTACATTATCTAAACATTACGCCATGTGATTCTCAAAGAGGTATTTCTCGTCGGGTGGCACGTGCGATGCGAATAGTGCCTACAAAACTTATAGTGTAAACGTATATTGTAAAATATGACATCTTTATTGTTTTGTTTTTACTTTATATATCAAAAGTACTCCATAGGGTGAGTTATTTTGTCGCAAGACGAAAACGAAACAGCTCACGGTGTATATTGTTTTTTTTTAATTTTTCCTCGTTATTGTAAATGTATGTTCTACACAGGGCTGAAGGAACGTATTTTTTAAGCTAGAAACTGTCTTGAAACTATTTGTTTTTAAATAGAGATGACGACAGACTTTTTCAATGACCTCTGTTGAATATTTCAATTTAACATGTGAATGTTTTTTTTTTTTTTTTTTTTTATGTCGAATACGATCGTCAACAAAGCGACAACATACGATGATTTTTCTTTGTTGTATCACAATAGGGATGATGAAAAATAAAAATCTAATTAGTTCGTCAGTTAGGTAATGAAAAAATATTAGACACGTATTTTTTTATTTAAGTATTTGTCATATAAGAAAACAATACTTCGATAAAACGAATCAATTTTAGGAGTGGGATATAGCTACGTCATTTTAGAGTATAAATCGTACTCAAAAGTGACGTCATGCGATATTTCAAAAAAATATATCTTCGAAAGTATTCGTTTCTGTATATAAATAAAAAATACGTGTCTAATGTTTTTAAAATAATCTACCAGACGGACATTAAAATAAAAATTAGTCATCTACCCTATTCTTGTACGACAATTATTTGTGTTTGACGGCACACTTTACTTTTACTACACTAGCGACACACGACGTTCGTCAAATCGCGTGTCCTGTAACGCTGTTCATCAGTATGAGCCCCTATCATGGCTTGAAACTAATCGAGTTTACCTCTACTTACAAGTCTTCAAGGCCCGAATGAATAGGTTGCTTATGGGACGACGTGCTCCATCGTAGACCGCGTCATCGCTTACCACCAGGCGAGATAGTGGTCAAACGTCGGTCCATCAAGTATAAAGTCTGGCAAACGAAAGTAAAGACTGAAAAAGCCCGGCAAATTTAAAAAATATCAGTATAGCAACCCAAAAATTAGTATGTCATACCTGGAGTAACCAGACGTGAAGACGTAACAAACAAACAAATTATTATAAAGTATCTAATTAGGTTACTCCAGGTATGACATACTAATTTTTGGGTTGCTATACTGATATTTTTTTAAATTTGCCGGCCTTTTTCAGTCTCTACTTTCGTTTGCCAGACTCTATATAAAAAAAGAGTATGCCGTTAAACATAATTAATGATTTATCCATTATCAAACAGAAGGACTTATCTTCATAATTTTTACACGCTGTTTTGTCGTCATCTCTATCTCTATCTCCTTCTCTTCTTTTCACGCTTGTGCTAATGAGTAGTTGAGCTAATGGTCACCCTCCCACGACAGAGCTAGCTGGTGCTGCTTCGGACTCGGACAGTGACGGCTCCAGGAGCGGTATGCCGGATCGACAGCCCTCCCAGCTGAAGAAACAGGAGATAATTACTGATATTGAAAAGAACTACGTTTTGGATACGAATGTTGATATCGGGGTGGTGAGTATTATTCTAGTATTATTACATAACATAACTTGACGCCTTTTTATCCCCATCCCCGGCACTTAATGCCACTGTACAATGTAACACCCACTTTTCACTATTTATGTTATAAGTGCCATGTAATAGGGGGTGAGTCTATTGACATATACCGGGCACATTTCCAGACTCCGTGCTATAACTGAGATTGTTTTAAAAGACTCCAGTATTACTTTGTCCGACCTGGAAATCGAACCCGAGAACCCTTGCCCGGCAGTCGCACTTGCGACCACTCGGCCAATGAGGCAGTTTAGTATTTTTCTATGTAGTTGTAAATGTCAGGACAACTATTTTTTTAAAAGGTTTTTTACAATATTGCCCCGCACTAGGGTGGGGTGGGTAGTTTCCAGGGTATCAAAATTAAAAATCTAATTAGTCCGTCAGTTACGTAATTAATAATATTACACATCTATATTTTTTTTTATTTTCTCGTATTAAGTTGCAATACTTAGATAAAATGGCGCTAAGTTTAGGAGTGGGAGGTTGTTACGTCATAACGTGCTACAAAATGTGCCACGCTGTGACGTCACACGATATTTCAAATTAATATACCGTCGAAAGTATTTAATTTTATGAGAAAAGAAAAAATACGTGTCTAAAGTTTTAATTTAATGTACCAGACGGACATTAAAATAAAATTTAGGAAACTACCCTATTGTCTCCTGTATCGTGTGGGCATTTATAAATATACAAGTTGACATACATATCACAGACAGACACGGAACAACAATCTGTGGATCACACAAAGAGTTGCTCCGCGCGGTTGTCGAAACTACGACACGTTGCGCGGCAGCCAATTGCCCAGCCACCGCGCCAACCGTGCAGTATTTAATCATTAAAATCAATGAGCTCGCCACAGGTCCTTCATAAAGCAACACCTACCAATCTATATATATAAAAGAAAGTCGTGTTAGTTACACCACTTATAACTCAAGAACGGCAGAATAGATTTGGCTGAAAATTGGTAGGGAGGTAGCTTAGAGCCAGGAGACCGACATAGGATACTTTTTAACCAATACTTTTTTTTTATTTTTTACCGAAAATCAAGAACGGGGACGGGAAAAAATGGGATTACGCATACGAAGTCGCGGGCAGAAGCTAGTAGTATCATAAACTAACTTATAAATAACCTCGAAACCATAATAGATAACTAATTCAACTGTTTAACGAAGCAACTCAACCAGTTTCAAACAGTGATTATGAGCCCCAATATGACTCGAAACTAGTCAAGTCACAAAATATAACTAATTTAACATCTCTTTTCCAGGCAGGAGAATTAGTAGAAGAAGTAGCGGAGGAGAACAAGTCTCTTCTCTGGTTCCTTCTGAAGCAGGTCAGGCCTGGTATGGACCTTAGCAAGGTGGTGCTACCGACGTTCATACTGGAACCTCGTTCGTTTCTGGATAAACTGTCGGATAATTACTATCATGCTGATATCTTGGCTGAGTAAGTATATATTTTTTTGTTATGAACGGGAGCCACTCGTTTCTTTCTTGATAAATATTTGCTAATGCAAGTATTTCATTAAAATAAATAAATGAAATAAAATGTATTTAAAACAACATAGAACACATTTAGTTCGCTCAGATTTTATAGTAATAAAAAGTCTTAATAATAACACTCGTAATAGTTTACTTAATCTAGTCGTATACAATATACATGCGAGGAAATAACGTTCTAAGTATATATAGGGATTACCCGAACTAGGTTTATTTAAACCTGTGTTTCAGGCTATCAATGCAAAAAAATGGCTATTAATTGGATACTTTACTTAATCAAGAATAAATTATTTAGACTGTTCAATACAATAGAATATTAAAAAATAATCACACTTTCAATAATTGATTTATTAATTTTTTTATGTACACACATACAACATGAAGGACATAACATGTATAAAATTGAAGTACAAAGGTACCACCTATTCCTATTGGAATTTCTTCCTGTGGACCTGCGGCAGGAAAAGTAAAAATAATATTATGACACAGTGTGTAGTGTAATAATAACAAATAGAAAATTGGGATAGGAAACAGACTTAAAACTAAACAGATAAGAAATAAGTAATGCTGTTTGACGCTAAAAAAACGTGACGTCACAATACACAATCTCGTAAAAAATTCATAAAAAAACTATCGTGTTTGACAGTTCGAAAAAAGTATTGAATTTGACTAGTTGGCAAGTACACATATACATTAAGTGTGGGAGAGCCATGCTTCGGCACAAATGGGCCGGCTCGACCGGAGTGATACCACGGCCTCACAGAAAACCGACGTGAGGCAACGCTTGCGTTGTGTTTCGTCATGTGAGTGAGGTTACCGGAGGCCCAATTACCTTCCCCTTCCCCAATCTGCCCAATCCCTGAATCCCCAACGATCCTCAAACTTCTTATCCCCAAAAAGCCGGTAACGCACTTGTAACGCCTCTGGTGTTCCAGGTGTCCATGGGAGACGCCGATTGCTTACCATCATGTGATCCATCTGCTCGTTTACCGGCTTATGCCATAAAAAAAATATACTTTTAATTTTCTTACCCTGGAAACTACCTTATCACTGCAGCTGTGAAATATTGAAGTCATTGGATGATTTTTCACCGTCAAAAATAAAAACTATATTTTCTTCGCCAGAGCCCAACAAGTAGAAGATCCCTACCAGCGGTTTGTAGCTGTTCTACGCTGGTATCTATCAGGCCTATACCGGAAACCTAAGGGTTTAAAGAAGCCGTACAATCCGGTCCTGGGGGAAACCTTCAGGTGTTGCTGGAGACACGGGCCCGAGTCTTATACATACTATATAGCTGAACAGGTGAGGTTAACGTATTCATTGGTCGAGTGGTCGGTCTTGGGTTCGATTCCCGGGTCGGGCAAAGTTTTGCTGGGTTTTTAAAACAAATCTTAGTAGTAGCACGGAGTCGGGAATTGTGCCCGGCCGTAATGTGCACCTCTGCCTACCCCTTCGGGGATAAAAGGCGTGACGATGAGTATGAGTAGTTTTTTTTAATAATAAGGTAATAGATAGGGTATGAAAATTAAAAATATAATCAGTCCGTCAGTTAGATAATGAAAAATTATTAGACACGTATTTTGTCGTTTAAGAAAACAATACTTAGATAAAACGGAGTTAAGTTTAGGAGTCCCACTCCTAGGGTCGTTACGTCACGCTACCCTATAAAATGTAGTAAATCGTGACGTCACACAATATTTCAAATCAATATATCGCCGAAAGTAGGTATTTGATTTTGTGCGAAAAGAAATACGTGTCTAATGTTTTAAAAAAAAATGGAAAATGGAAAATAATAATGGTTTTACCATTATGGAAATGGAATAATGGAAAATAATAATAATAAAAAAACAAATTAATCTCCAGCGATCTGTGGCCGACTATAAAAATGGATCTTCAAATAACAAAACTAAACTTCCGAAATAGAATATTGAACCTCCGACAAAATTACTAAGTTACCGACAACAGACGTTTTAGGTTAGGTTGGGTTAGTATTGTAGCAATAAACAGTCATGTAAAGTAGTCGGAAAGTTAGTATTTTAGGCAGTAGATTTAATATTTTCAGTAAGGACAATTCTTCTTTTGCTTGTCGGAGCTTTTATTACTACCTTTTTAAAATAATCTACCAGACGGACATTGATATAAAATTTATAGGATACTACCCTACTCCCATTCTAAAATCTTTCTTTCATTTTACCTGCCTCAATGTTTATCCGTCTGTATTCTGTAATAGGATCTTGTATATTTATTTTTTCTTCTCTGCACAGGTCTCCCACCACCCCCCCGTGTCCGCGTTCTACGTGGCCAATAGAAAAGAGGGGTTCGTTATAGAAGGCAGTCTACTAGCTAGGTCCAAATTTTATGGTGAGTCTCGCAAAATATTGTAATTTTCTTTAATCAATGATATTATAAATAATAAAAAGAGGTAGATATCGCACTGGCACGCAAAAATTGTTGCGAACGAATTCAGACAATTGACATAATTTTATAATAGCTATCTCTTTCTGTACCATACTTTCCGTATTATCTGTCGCACGTAGTTGAAAATGACATTTAAGTACATTTGTAATAAGAACGCAACAATTTTTGGACGCCGCTTAGTATGAACGTAGCGTATCTTCTTTATAATATCATTGTCTTTAATGGTAGTAGCAACATACTAATGTTGCAAGCGTTCATAGGCCAAGGTAACTACTTACCATCAAGTGGGCCGTGTGCATCTCTTGCTGTTGTTTTCTTATGTTAGTTTTGGTGTGACTTTGTGTGGGAAGATATGCCTGGAATAATGTTAGTTAGTTCTTGTTGAATAATAATAAACGAGATGAAAGTTTAACAATACGTTTATTAGCCGGTAAAGATTACAGAGAACAGACAGAATGCACTAGCGCCACATGTGACAACAATCGGAAACTTTTGGTTATGTTCGGAAACTACAACAAACTAACAATACTTATTGATTTAATGTTTAATATTTCAACAGTTCTTATACTTATCATTAAGTTCTTGAGAGCCATGCTTCGGCACTAATGGGCCGGCGCGACCTGAGTGATACCACGGCCGAGAAGAAAATCATAGTGATACAATGTTTGCGTTGTGTGAGTGAGGATACCGGAGGCCCATTTACCCACCCTCCCCCTCCCCAGTCTCTCCAATCCCCGAATCCCCCACAATCCTCAAATTCTCAATTCCCAAAAGGCCGGTAACGCACTTGTGTTCTAGGTGCCCATGGGCAACGCCAATTGCTTAGCATCATGTGATTCGTCTGCTCGTTTATCATACAAAATAAAAACATTTTTATCTCCGATACTGAAAGGCTACACACTCTGAAGTCATACTTAAATATCGTGCCGTCTCTGTCATTGTACAAAGAATTTATAGAGACAGAACTATACTTAAGCGCGACTTAAAATGGCGATAAATGAGTGGCGTTTGAGTATTTTTGCATTTAACGTATACTTAATACTTTTTCTTCCCCACAGGAAATTCAACATCAGCAATATTAGAAGGTTGCGCGCGCATTCACCTCCTAAACTGGGGGGAGACGTACGTCACCACCGCGCCCTACGCGCACTGTAAGGGGATTGTCATTGGCACGCTCAGCATGGAACTAGGGGGGAAGGTATGTATGTCACCCCCTTTGGGATGAAGGGGTGTAGGTTCTCTATTTACGAGATATCTAGAAGTTAAATACAGACCTAGGAAGCAAGACATATTGTAAACACTACTAGTAACTGTTTGTCCCCCGTCCCTCTTAGGGATAGGGGATGTCTTAATGTATAAGAGCTCAGCATTAAAGGAAGGTCATTCGACTTAAGGGGGAAGGGGGAGACCGGACAATAATCGACTGCAAAATGGGTACTTACTCTTGAAACCATTCTCAATGTCAATGCAATTTCAGTCCAATAAAATCTCAATAATTATTCAATGTCAACACTATACAACCACAATCATAGCTGTTACAATAGTATCCAGAGTACGGAATATAAAGCCAAGCTCAATACCATTTAGTTCATTCAATATCCACGCAATACGGATGCAATGGGGACTAGTTTAACTCAAGATTATAAAATTTTACAATACCAATGTCGATCGATCGGAATTGGATTCAAGAGTAAGCCCCCTGTTCCTATTTTTGACTTAACTACTTATACAATAAAGTTGGAATGAAATACTATGTTTAAACATAGTATAAAATAATTATTATTCCGAATTATAAAACCGAGTTCAACCCTCCCATTTTTTGAAGTCTTTTAATACTAAAACCTTCTCCCAAGTGTAACAAACGGTTTTCTGAAAACCGCATCAAAATCGGCTCAGCCAATCGCGAGATAGTCCCCCATAAACATACATACATACATTATAAGGAGGTTAAACATTTTATTTTTGTGTTTCAGGTACACGTAGTGTGCGCGGAAACCGGGTACCACGCGGACGTCGAATTTAAACTTAGAGTGAGTATCACTTATGTTTCTTACTAGCTACGTCTGCGCGGTTTCACACGCTCTGCTCAACTCCTATTAAATTGTCAAACACCGAGCGGTCACCGGTGACCGCAACCTATTGTTCTTTAATTGTGTCTATAATGACGGTACTCGACGAGTTAATCGTAGCATGATGTTTTATAGCTTATAGCCATCCTCGATAAATGCGCTATCCAACACAAAAATAATTATTCAAATCAGACTTGTAGTTATGGAGATTAGCGCATTCAAACAAACAAACAAAAAACAAACTCTTCCGCTTTATATAATAGTATAAGATAAGAGTATAACATTATAAACTTAAAGGAGCTCCCTCACCGGGAGCATTCACGTGTAATGTAACATTATAGATTCGACTTTGAGCATTTCATAGCAAGATGTCAGACGAAGCGGGCGGGCGGGGGGCGGGGGAAGTGGAGCGCATTGATGTTACAAGTTGTATCAAGATATTACATATTGTATCATTACAAGGTGCGCATTGTAATGCTCGGTTCTCCTCCTTCACTGATGTAATGCTCAGATCTGTAACGTTACACTACACGCGAATGCTCCCGGTGAGGAACCACCTTAAAGTGTGGGTCATCGTTTTTTGTCCACTGAGAATTTTTTTAAAACCCAGTAATACTTTGCCGAGAATCGAACCCGAGACCCCTTGTCCGGCAGTCGCAGTTGCAACCACTCGGCCAACGAAGCAGTCAGTGTTTTTCTTATTTATATAACTATTTTGTTTTTCAGTCATTCCTAGGCGGCGCGGATCAAACGAACGCTATACAGGGTCGAATCAAACGCGGCAAGGAGACCGTGGCGGTGCTGGAGGGATACTGGGACGGCAAGATTGATATTAAGGACAAGAGAAGTGGGGTGAGTAGTACTTTAATACGTACATATATTATAATTCATCATCATTATCACCAGGGGCGTAGCTAGCACCGTATGTGTCGTATCAATGGGGATGATGACAGGGTATGAAAATTAAAAATATAATTAGTCCGTAAGTTAGGTAATGAAAAAATATTAGACACGTATTTTTTTATTTTGTCGTATAATAAAACAATACTTAGATAAAACGAATCAAAGTTTAGGAGTGGGGGCTAAAACGTCATTTCTTAGTATAAAATGTACTGAGAAGTGACGTCACGCGACATTTCAAATCAATATATCTTCGAAACTATTCGTTTCTGTGAGAAAATAAAAAATACGTGTCTAATGTTTTTAAATAATCTACCAGACGGACATTAAAATAAAAATTAGTTGTCTACCCTATTATACGGGGACCCCGGACTACGTGCCTAAGCAAAAATTTATATAAACTTCCCAATGTTTATTCTACCAGCTTCTACTCATGGCTTCGTACTCGCAATCCCGTTTTCTCCCATTCCCGTAAGATTTTCAGGATTTTTTTACACCCACATTTCCAGTTACTTTCTGGGTCCCACCTAATTTTGTGTGTTTTTTTTTTTAAAAAAACTTTGCCCCACATTAGGATTTTCTCCTGTGTCGTGGGTGCGTTTACAAACATACAAGTTCATATACACAATGACACCCAGACCCGAACAATTTGTGGATCACACAAAGTGTTGTTCCGTGCGGGAATCGAACCCGCGACACGTTGCACGGCAGCCGGTTACCCAGCCACCGCACCAACCGTGCAGTCAAATGGAAACTGACCGTCGAAATGCGAAATGATACTAATCGTCAATTTTTGGATTGAACTCGACACCCTCTTATTCAGCATACTAATATCCTTCAATATACGACCCACAGGAGGAATCGAACCTATTCGACGTATCGTTACTCAAAGAACAGAGACTACCTCGCTTCTTGATGAACTTGGATAAGCAGCAGGAGTTCGAGTCCGCCAAGCTGTGGCTCAAAGTGTCCGAGGCTATTATGAACGAGGATCAGGTCGGTAGAACGAAATATTATTTGTCACTATTATTCTTTTTATAATTTAATGTATATAATGACTGTGTGAGAGCCATGCTTCGGCACGAATGGGCCGCCTCGACTGGAGTGAAACAACGTTGTTTTTTTTGTAAGGGGGGAAAATCATCGATTAACTGCTCCCGCCTGGGTGAGGCGGGAGGGAGTGTCAGTCTCTTACTGACTGAACACCACCCCGTTCCTTCTCCTGCACGTCGAGCCGGAGCCCCGGTTACCCGTTAGGTTCTCCGCGACAACAACGTCGTGTTGTGTTTCGTCGTGTGAGTGAGGTTGATTATTTGAGGATCGTTGGGGATTCAGGGATTGAGGAAAGGGGGGGGGGGGGTAATTGGGTCTCCGGTAACCTCACTCATACGACGAAACAACGCAAGCGTTGCTTCACGTCGGTTTTCTGCTCGGCCGAATCGGTCACGAAGTATGGCTCTTCCATATAAGATATATTTATCTGCATCTGCATATATATGTATATATACTAGCTTTTACCCGCGGCTTCGCTCGCATTACAAAATAATAAAAAGTAGCCTATGTGAAATATACCAATACACACAGCGCCATCTATACCAATACTTTTGTTTTTCCTTGGGAATATCAATTTTTTCCGGGTTAAAAAATACTCCATTATTTAATCCGGACTTCTAACTTTACGTCTGCAAAAATTCAAAGCAATCGGTTTAGTAGTTACGGCGTGAAGGTGGAACAAACAAACAAACAAACTCACTTTCAGATTTATAATATTATATATTATATATAGTAAGGATATATCTATCTGTATGTATGTCTGTGTGCAGGTGGCGGCGACGGAGCAGAAGACGTTGATAGAGGAGGCGCAGCGGTCCCGCGCCAGGAACCTCGTCACTCCCTGGCTGCCGCGACTGTTCCACAGAAACCTGCAGCCGCTGCCCAACGACGGTACTACATCACTATATGACTTCATTGCCTCACTGCCTGGGCAGCCGGCTGATGCCCAATGTGTAACGGGTTCGATTCCCGCACGGAGCAACTTTTTGTGTGATCCACAAATTGTTGTTTCGGGTCTGGGTGTCATGTGTATGTGAACTTGTATGTTTGGGCACATTTCCAAACTCCGTACTACTACTGAGATTTTTTTAAAACCCAGTAATACTTTGCCCGACCCGGGAATCGAACCCGAGACCCCTTGTCCGGCAGTCGCACTTGCGACCACTCGGCCAATGAGGCAGTCTCAGAGGCAGTTTCCACTTTCCTACGATTGTATTATATGTATAGACTAGCGGACCTGACAGACGTTGTCCTGCATATCCACTTGAATGTATAAACAAAAATGCTGTTTAGGATAAATAACCTAAACACCGACTGCAGTGCCATCTGCCGGGCTGATTTGTGAATCTAAACCGTTCCCAGATCCCCTTGAACACACACTATAAATTTCAACAAAATCGGTCCAGTCTTTTGAGAGAAGTTCAGTGACATACACACTCACAGAAGAATTATATATATAAAGATATTTTTTTAATTTTGTGTTTATTCCCACACACAGGTGTCACAGATCAAGGATGGGTGTACAATCATTTAAATATAACGTAAGTGTCCTTTTTTATCGTCAAAAAATACATTGGAATGGAATTCTTTGCCAGAGTCTGTATTTCCTTAACGGTATAACCTGGGTGTCTACAAGGCCCGAGTGAATAGGTTGCTTATGGATCGACGTGCTCCATCGTAGACCGCATCATCGCTTACCACCAGGCAAGATAGTGGGCAAACGTCGGCCCATCACTACATAGTATGAAACATAGTGTGTCCCCCTATGTATGATTAAATCAACTACGCAACGGATTGTGATGCGTTTTTTTAATGGATAGAGTGATTCTTATGGAAGGTTTATATGTATACATGCATATTGCACACGTGCGATGCGGGGGCGGGTCGCTAGTCAAATATAAAGTAAAAAAAATATGTTATAACCACGTTTCGCCCTTTATGTTATGAGTCCCATGTAATAGGGCAGGGATGGCGAACCATTGGCACGCGTGCCGTTGATGGCACGGAACACAACATTTTGGGCACGACAGTGACTACAAAACTGATGAATGATCAGAAACCTACCACGCATTTGTGGTGTCTCGAATATTGCTGGTGTACTCAGACTGCGGTGACAGTTTACCAGGTCAACTGTATACATTATTGCTACAGATTAGCAGTTTATATAAGTCGACGGCACACATAAAACCGTAAAATACTTTTCTTCAAAGTAATTGGCACGCTAATGTGTAAAGGTTCGCCTTCCCTGTAATAGGGGATAATTATAATTATGTATTTATTACTAAAAACCGGGGCATAAATCCAGACTCTGTTGTTATTAAAATTATGTACTGTAGGAGTCGCGACTGAAGTGATAAATAATAACCCAATAACTGAGTAACCCGCGATTTTTAGTTAACTTAGTATTGTCGGAATACTGAAACGCTACTCAATTTTATGTCGCGCTTAAGTACAGTTCTGTCCCTACAAATTCTTTGTAAAATGACAGAGATGGCACGATATTTGAGCACGACTTAAAATTGAGTAACGTTTCAGTATTCCGGCATATGTCTCACAATAGTTAATAATAATAATAATGGTTATTTCAAAAAGGAAAAGTTTGTTAAATAAAAACATACGAGATTTGTGTCTATAAACGTATCCACGACGCAAAACACCCGACTTGTTCAGTTTCTATCTATCTGTAGATTTGCTTACTAGAGATAGAATTTTGACATGAGCTCCATACAAAATGTGTCAAAATTCTATCTCTAGTAAGCAAATCTACAGATAGATAGGTTATAGAAACTGGACGTAAAGCATCAATCATACATATGTGAGGACCATGTCAGACTTAAGATATTTGTTTTCTCTTGGTTTTGTTTTTTTTTTTTATTTTAGTACGTTCTGTTATTTGTATGATGCGTCAGGTATGTCTTTACATTATTCTCACACGTGTGTACAATATTGGAATATGTATCAGAGCAATGTAAAACAGACTTTTTTAAAAGAGTAACGAATGGAGTTTCTTCCTCGTTCTTCTCCACTCGAATCGACATTTTGGAACGAGCGCCTAGCTTCACTGACGGACAGACTGACAGACTATTATTTATTTCATATTTGTTGACGTTTCGTTGCTTTTGAGTTTGAGTTTGAATCCTCAATCCGCAGGCCGTGGCAACCGGACGAGATCCTAGAATATGAAGAAGACTTCGTTATCAAAACCTTACGAGATGGGGCCCCCGTGAAACCAAGTGCCGAAATTAGGCGCGACCTAGCGAGGCGGGTGTCAGACTCGGACAGCCACGACGAATTGACCAGGCCTAAGACTTCGGCGTAAGTATTATTTTTAATATTATTAATTTAAGTGACTGTCCAGGCGACACACGTACTTAGGTATCGTCATGAGCTAATGTTCACATGTAAACAGCAGCTCATGTAAAGAGATTGTCCAGTCAACTGATGGTAGCGGTGACTGTCCAGGCGACACACGTACTTAGGTATCGTCATGAGCTAATGTTTACATGTAAACAGCAGCTCATGTAAAGAGATTGTCTAGTCAGATGCATATCAACAGTCTTCTGGTAGACCATAGGCATGTAGAAAGGTGCCAAATATATTCTACTGCCATCACCAACGCTCAAAGTGTGGGAGAGCCATGCATCGGCACGAATGGGCCGGCTCGACCGGAGTGACACTACGGCTGAGCAGAAGACCGACGTGAAACAACGCTTGCGTTGTGTTTCGTCGTGTGAGTGAGGTTACCGGAGGCCCAATTACCCCCTCCTCCTGTTTCCCAATTCCTTACTCCCGAATTGTGCATGTGTGTGTGTATATAGTAGAATCTTGTGAAATTTTGTACTCTTGAGTTGCAACACTAGCGTCCATTGCATCCGTATTGCGTGGATATTGAATGAACTAAATGGTATTGAGTTTGGTTTTATATTCCGTACTCTGAATGCTATTGTAACAGCTACGGTAGGGGTTGTATAGTTTTAACATTTAATAATTATTGAGATTTTATTGTATTGACATTGAGATTGGTTTCGAGAGTAAGCATCCAGGAAGGCACATTTGCACAAAAAATTTATAAGTGAAGCTATTTGCTCATTCCAAGGTGTAGATTCCTATGGAGAAGAACGAGCAATAAACTCCATAGGTTACTCTTTTCTAATCAGGTTCACAATACAATTCTCTAGTTACATGGATATCACTTACAGGGTGCTTACTCTTGAAACCAATCTCAATGTCAATGCAATTCCAATCCAATAAAATCACAATAATTATTCAATGTCAACACTACAACCACAATCGTAGCTGTTACAATAACATTCAGAGTACGGAATATAAAGCCAAACTCAATACCATTTAGTTAATTCAATATCAACGCAATACGGATGCAATGGGCGCTAGTGTTGCAACTCAAGAGTACGAAATTTCACAATACCAATGTCGATCGATCGGAATTGGATACAAGAGTAAACCCCTAGATATCTTCAACCGATTGAGCTGTAATTTTGTATACACGTTTAGTTTGCATGACAATTAATGGTAGCTAGCGTAAAAGCTTGATTTTAATTTTTAATTTCATTAGAACGGAAGTGAAGTCTAAAAAAACCGATTCGTCGCCGGACACGTCGAGACATGTTGTCTTATCCGATACACGGATGGAACAGAGAAGCCGTACCTTCACGTGAGAAATTTACGTCAAATATACTGTTAGTCGATTAATCTTATAGATTAGAATATTATCTAGATTATTTGTAGGTCTAAAACAGTTCTCGTAAAATCGTAGAGTATTTTCGAAAGTATTTTTGTGTAAGATGTATTAAAATTAGTTCCCTAGTCTCTGCCTACCTCCATGGGAGACAGGCGTGAAGAAATGTGTGTATGTATGTATGGATGTATGAAATTAATTGTCAATTACGACTTACTATCGTCAACTATTTGAGGAAAGCTCGACTAGTTTCGAGTCACAACAAGGTGACTCGAAACTAGTAGAGTTTATCTCGAATAGTACATTATAGACATGGGTAATCAGTTTATTATAATTAAATAATTTAGGTTTTGTAAGTAAAAGGGGTTGTGTAAGTCGAATTGATCCAGTACTTGTTTTTGATAGTGAACTGAATACTAAATATCAAAACAATCAATTTAAGTCAAGTAAGTAAGGAGAGCCATGCTTCGGCAAGAATGGGCCGGCTGTGAACTATAGTGAAACAACCACAGCGTTTTGTTTCGTCGTGTGATTGAGGTTACTGAAGGCCCAATTATCTTCCCCCCTTCCCAATCTCCCCAACACCTGCAACCCCAACAATCCTCAAATTCCCAATCCCCAAAAGGCCGGTAACGCACTTGTAACGCCTCTGGTGTTCCGGGTGTCCATGGGCGACGCCGATTGCTTACTATCAACAGATCCATCTGCTCGCTTACCGGCTTGTCCAATAAAAAAAACAATATGAATCTAGATTATTTAGTATAATATTTTTATTTAATGTTATGTTAGGTATGTGTAAAATATTAAAGTCAGATCAAATAGCTTACTGATTCTTGTTAATATGTATTTTACTGATATATAGTACATACTTATTTCGTTTATATTATTATTATTATGTTATCGGCTCACTAAAGTAACTATTTGACGAGGAACTCGACTAGTTTCGTTGTTAGCGTCGACAGTTGACGCGTCGCGGGTCGCGGAATCATCATCAGCCTGTATTCGTCCACTGCTGGACATAGGCATCTCCAATGGCACGCCACTGAGCTCGGTCTTCAGCTCTACGTATCCAACCACTGCCAGCCACCTTACAGATGTCGTCCCTCCACCTAGCTGGAAGGCGCCCTACACTACGTTTGCCTATAGTCAGAATTTTAATTAGATTCCAGATTTGACAATAGCTACTGTCATTTTGTGAAATAATGATACCACATATAATAGTGTAGTGATGCACACAAAAATCGATAAACAATCGGTCTGTGTGTTTTATAATAAATGTTACAGAAAGTGACAGGATAGCGGTAGCGATGACGGCGACAATTTATAAAATAACTTATTACCATGATACATCTATCTGTTTTATTTGTCATGTTCCTTCATGATTACGTTTTTTTTATTTATTTCACACACAATTATAAAAGAAAAGTCTCAGATCGTTAATTAATCGTCAAAACTAAATTATCGGTTCAGAAATATTTAATTTCCTGATATACTTAGTTTACGAGAGTAAAATTATAAACGAGAAAAATCGATTCAGAAATATTCCATTTACATATCGAATAATTTCGCAACGTTACTATTTAGTACTTGTTATAACGTTGCAACACTGAAATTGTCAAATCTGGAATCGAATTAAAATTCCGAGTATAGACGCGGTCTCCACTCTAGAACACGTTTACCCCAACGGTTATCGGTTCTTCGACAAATGTGACCGGCCCTCTGCCACTTCAGTTTACTGATCCTTTGGGCTATGTCGATAACTTTGGTTCTCTGTCGGATCACTTCGTTTCGGATTCGATCCTTCAAAAAGACTCCGAGCATAGCCTTCTCCATAGCTCGCTGCGCCACCTTAAATTGGTGGACCAGTCGCACTGAATGGATGGTCGCGGATATGTTGCTCATGAATATGAGCCTCTAGCTTGGCTTGAAACTAGTCGAGTTCCGCGTCAAACGGTTACGTGAGTAAGCCGAAAACATAATAATTAATTTAGTTATTTAGTTTTGAAGAAGCCATTAATTGTATTTTGATTGTAATTTTGTAAAATTTAAAGTGTAGTTAATTTAAAGTATTAGCCTGTAACTGTCCTGGACAAAGGCATCTTCTCACGCGGAGAAGAAACGGCATTAATGGATTGGCAGTTTGATAATAATGTTATTATGAGTTTATGTTTTATCTGTCTGTCACTGGTGTCTGTATATGCCTGAATTTTAAGAAGAACATGTAATTTGTCAAAAGTGATCTCCGGTTCGAATCCGAATTTATTAATTGATATTTTTGGCTCTGTCACACGGCGTACTTTTAATGTGCACATTGCGCTTTGACGCGGTGGCCGGGCAACCAGTTGCCGTGCAAAGTGTAACGGGTTCGATTCCCGCACGGCACAACGCTTTGTGTGATCCACAGATTGTTGTTTCGGGTCTGGGTGTCATGTGTATGTGAACTTGTATGTCCACCCACGATACAGAAGAAATTTCTGGAGGCAACATTAAAAAAAAAATAATGTGTGTAGCCCTTTAAAGTAAATGAATATTCCAACAATTTATTTTCAACGATCTGCCTACCGTATCATATACTGTATGTTTTTAATGAAATTGTGTGGTTAACAAGCATCTATCTCACCTGATGGTAAGCAATTGACACCACTTAAGAACGTGCAACGCCACAGAAGTTACAACCACCTTATCAAACCCTCAAAATCCTCTAAACAAGAGAAATAATTAAAAAAACCTTATCTTTTACAGGCGCACCCTAAAACAGAGTCTCTACGCAATAGACACCGCTCTGAGAGAACAGACTCTAGCCATAGAGAGACTCTCAAAAAGTGTAGAGACTATTAGCGAAGGACAAAGACAGGCTGCCGCGTTTAGGCCCCAGAATGTCGGCAGGGTACCGACATCAAGTCATTCCTGGGACCTCTTCGGCGGTTTCGTCCTAGCCATGGTGTTGCAAGCTTTACTAAACTGGGTTTTCTACCAAAAAGACTGAAAATGAAGTGTTGCCACTATAAAAAATTGCAATGTGATTTTTGAAATAATTTGATTACTTTTCTTCTGTTGTTCGGTTTAATGTAGTTTGTTTTTGTGTAGATATTTAATATATGAAAGGTTGGTTTTTTAGTTTGGCGCTTTGCTTGTATTTCTGTCTGTCTGTGAGTTCTGTGAAAGGGATGATGATGTGGCTATAACTTGACGGAATTTAATTTAAACTGTCAAACACCGCGAGAACACCGGTGACCGCAACCTATTGTTCTTTAATTGTGTCTATAATGACGGTACTCAAAGGGTTAATCAACAGCCTGTAAGTGGCCACCACTGACCAAAGGCCTCTTCTCACACGGAGAAGGTTTGAGCATCGATCACCAGTCACCACGCTTGCTCAATGCCGGTTGGCGATTATGAAATATTTATAATCGATCTTGTTTAGGTTATGATCTATTTTTGACGTTAATTTTAATTCTATTAAAGAATTACGTATTTTTTATAGATATTGAATCTTATTTTGAACATTTTTGGTCATTATCATCATCCTTATTTGCAATTGTGACTCGAAGATGGAGAATATCCTGTCACTACATTTAAGTACAGCTTGGTAAAAAGAGTTTGGCAAAATAGAGGTCGCTAGTATCGTACCTGTGGCAACCTGGTACACTACGACTCAACCGGTTTTGATATTTGTTATTTTTATCGAGTTTAAAAAGAGGAGGTACTGTGTTCGGATGATTGTTTATTCATGGGATGTGGTCCGAAGTGGGTGATTCAGTCCAAGTCTATATTAGTTGCAGCTGTCACCGCGTCAAGCTGATTTTTGTCAAGCTGTATGTAATATTTATATGGAATATATTTGACAGTATTTTTATCAGAAAATCTGTACAATGAAGAAAATGTATTATTTTATATTTCATTTGAAAATAACGGTTTTATTTCAAACTGTGTTGCCAGCGTCAAAAAACGAACAATAATAATAGATATCCGGAAATGTTGCAAGAGTAAATATAGTAGGAATTATTATTTTGAATAATTATTACTTATTACTATTACTATATTATTATTATGTATTGAGTTTGATAGTAATAAATTAAATTTTATCGCTGAGTTTTGCCTGTTAATTTTAGTTTAGCTTTAGTGTTTTGAAAACAACCAAATTTTATAATGTTTAAGGGCTCGTACACAACACTGCGATGCGATGCGAATGCGCAACGCAGAAAATTACGATACGAATTGCTGCGATGCGATTTCGTGCGACAAGGCGTCTCCCAGGGCGACCATTCTTCGACGACCGTCAACCGTAACTAAACGTATTTTAAATTGAAAACTAGGTCGTGACATGGATCGTAAAAAGAAGTGTGCACGTCTGTTATTGCTTAGGAGATACAGGAAAAAGAAACAAAGAAGATTTTGGGAAGATAAGATTTTGATGCGCGATGCGAATCAATTCGCAAGTTCGTGCGATGCGTAGATGAAGCTCGCACATTTTTAAAATGCGACGTGGCATCGCAGTTTGTGTACGAGCCCTAAATGAAACAAGTGAATTTATTTCTGCAAATAGTCTACAAGGCACTTTGACACGTCAATTGTATCAAGCGAACGATTAGACCGACATTTCCTAACTGACTACTCTGAGAAGAAATGCCGTAACAAACTCAGAGGTCTGTTTTTTTAAAGTCCAGACAATATGTATAAAAGATTATGCGTGAGAACCGTGCAAGTTCTTTCTGTAGTGGCCTTTTGAGGAAAGAACCACAACAGTTTGAGCGGACCCGCTCTGAAGGCAGTACGCATGTGTCGGTTTACAGTCAGCTCAATTAACAGATTTCGAAGTTATTTGAAGTCGGAGGTGTAATTTGTACTTTGATAGCTATGTCATAGAGTTCCATTTGTATTGAGAGCGAGTCTATTAAACTTCAGTCGTAATGAGGTACTTTCCTTAATTAAAAATAAATTATTTCGACTGTGCAATACAATATTAATATAAAAAAATATTCACACTTTCATTAATTGATTTTATGACCAACTGAATTTTAGTAATTTTTCAGCAAATTTTTAAGAAATAACTATGCTGTTTGACGCTTAAAAACGTGACGTCTCAATACACAATCTCGTACAAAATTCATAGAAACCTGTCGTTTTTCACAGTTATATACAAAAAGTATTGAATTTGACTAGTTGGCAAGTACACAATTCTAGATTTCATGTTACAACTGAGAATTAATAAAAAAACGCTCATCGGCCGTGGTCCACCTGCATAGTACACCTGGGTGTACCATGGGCACTTTTTATTACCGGTGGTTCACCTCGGTACACGTAAAGTCAATAATATTTAAGTCTCGAACATCATACTGTTATCAGTTACTATTTACAACCCATTACAACCTCAAGGCCCGAGTGAATAGGTTGCTTATGGGTCGACGTGCTCCATCGTAGACCGCATCATCGCTTACCTCCAGGCGAAATAGTGGGCAAACGTCGGCCCATCTAATATAAAAAAAGCTAGAGACATCACGCTTACACTTCGCCACGTCTTGCGTGAGCGATCTAGAGGCGAATGCGGTGCGGTGCGGACCGAAATGACGCGGACGCGATTTGATGATATTTTGGAACTGTCATATTTGAATGCGGTGCTGTCATGTTTTTATATGGTTATAATGACGGAAACAAAAACGAAGCGAAACGATTCGCATGTACATAGGACATGCCGCCGCGTCGCATTGAATTCGCGTGTCATCGCCTCATGATCGCTTTCGCTACTAGATCGCTCACAAGGAGCCATCAAACTACCACAGATGGAGTCCAATAGGGCTGATGCCGATACGCAGCCGCGGAAGACTTAACGCGTTACCGGGGCTCCGGCTCGAAGTGCAGGAGTAGGGAACGGGGTGTTTTTTAGTCAGTAAGAGTTTGGCACTCCCTCCCGCCTCACCCGGGCGGGAGAAGCGATTGTATGATTTTCCCCCTTCAAAAAAAAAAAATCGCTCACATAGGACATAGCGTTAGGCTACGATCGATGTGTCTAGACAAATCACAAAGGTAAAATACATTTCTGATTGCACCTTGCACCCTTTATCCCCTATACTTATTATACTCTTTGCCCTTTACTCGCGTAAATAATGTAGCCTAAGTACATCTGCGTACTCATAACTACATTTGGGAGCATAGAAACTAAAAGTGGGAGAGCCATGCTTCGGTACGAATGGGCCGGCTCGACCGGAGTGATACCACGGCCGAGCAGAAAACCGACGTAAAACAACGCTCGTGTTGTGTTTCGTCGTGTGAGTGGGGTTACCCCAACAATCCTCAAATTCCTTAAAATAATGGTAACGCATTTGTAACGCCTCTGGTGTTCCAGGTGTCCATAGGCGACGCCGATTACTTACAATCAGGTGATCCGTCTGCTCGTTTACAGGCTTATCTCATAAAAACAGAGCTACTCGCGTCTTTTTTTTTTCATTTTATCGAACCTTCTATAACTATAAAATGAGAATTCCTTTAACAACAAAACGGTCTCATTGTAAAGGTAACTAAATTGCCTTTTATACGACATACGTTACCAATTAATAAAATACTTGAATCAGAGAATATTTATCAAGAAATGAAAAAGAAAAAACGATAGTGACTCCGTGTCTTTGCTCCCAAGTGTGCAAATTAACAAGAAGTTTGCTCAAGTAAAGATATGACAAACAAATTTACTATAGCATTTATAAGTGGTCAAATTAATTTTTTAGGGCTGTTAAAATGTTATTGTAGCTAATTGAACTAAAATCGCGGGTTACTCACGTGAATATACTGAGAAAAGCTCTACTAGTTTCGAACCACAGGGGTCCTTCCTCATGAGCAGCGTGCGCGATCGCGGCGATGTCGCGTTCTCACTGTGATGTTTACGTGAGTAATCCGCGATTTTAGTTAATTTATTATGTCTCACGATAGTTGTTATTGGAACTGTTGAGTTTAAATAAAATACTTAGCGGTAACAATAATAACTATATTAGAAATGGCACAGTACAATGGTATGACGGTTGAGTAACGAATGGAGTTTCTTGCTCGTTCTTCTCCACTCGAATCGACATTTTGGAACGAGCGGCTGGCTTCACTGACGGACAGACTGACAGACTATCAAACATTTATATCATATTTGTTGACGTTTCAAAAGTACAAAATTATGGTTTAATTGAAATAAATGCTTTTGAGTTTGAGTTTAAAAACAATTTCTTTTTGTCAGCGTTTCTCAGCGTTCTGTTTAAGCCCTGCCCTGTATACACCTCTTTAGATTAAAGTCGTTATAAAAACAATATTTCTACTTGATAACAAATTCATAATTATAAAATTTGGTTGGTTTTGTTAGAAAATGTATTATAGTTGTGTATAATATAAAAAACATTGACCAATTCTTTTAATTAATATAATAATTATGTAAAATAAATGTTATTTCGTTTGTGTATGTCTGTTTGTTTGTGCAAACGGCTGTGTGTTTGGAAACTTGATCCCCTTTTTTTGATAACAGGAGAAAATAGAGGTTTTCGGGGAGAAAAATGCGAAGGATTCTTACCTCTATCGACATGTTAAGGGGGGGCAAAGACCACCACGGATGGGGCCCAATAGGGGTTATGCCGAATCAGAGTCGCGGAGAACCTAACAGGTTACCGGGGCTCTGGCTCGACGTGCAGGAGAAGGAACGGGGTGGTTTTTAGTCAGTAAGACTCTGACACTCCCTCCCGTTTCACCCAGGCGGGAGCAGTCATTCAATGGTTTCCCCCCCTTTAAAAAAAGGCGGGGGGCAATGCATCCCCTATATAATATAGTATACCAGTTTTTGAGCCCTCACTAAAATCGCCTATATCGGCTCTTCCTGAAGTAAATTGTCAGAAATTGGGTTTTATTTTTGTTAAAAATTCATTGCCTTACACTAGGATTTTCTCCTGTGTCGTGTGTGCGTTTACAAACATATAATTTCATCAATATGACATCCAGACTCAAACAACAATCAGTGGATCACTTAGAGTTGCTCTTTGCGGGAATTGCGTACTTGCCCTTATCAAAAAATAAATTATTTCGACTGTTCAATACAATAAACTATTTAAAAATAATCACACTTTCAATAATTGATTTTATGACCAACTTAATTTTAGTATTTTTGCAGCTAATTTTTAAGCAATAACTATGCTGTTTGACGCTAAAAAAACGTGACGTCATGATACACAATCTCGTACAAAATTCATAGAAAACTGTCGTTTTTGACAGTTCGAAAAAAAGTATTGAATTTGACTAGTTGGCAAGTACACAATCGTTCCCACTACACGTTGCGCGGAATGTTAATATGATAGATTTCATTATTGTTATTGGTGGAACTTTAACAAAGTTTTAAGTGTAGGAGAGCCATGCTTCGGCACGAATGGGCCGGCTCGACCGGAGTGATACCACGGCCGAGCAGAAAACCGACGTGAAGCAACGCTTGCGTTGTGTTTCGTCGTGTGAGTGTGGTTACCGGAGGCCCAATTACCCTCCCCTTCCCCAATCTCCCCAATTCCTGAATCCAAAACGATCCTCAAACTCCCCAAACGGCCGGTAACGCACTTGTAACGCCTCTGGTGTTCCAGGTGTGCATGGGCGACGCCGATTGCTTACCATCAGGTGATCCGTCTGCTCGTTTACCGGCTTATGCCATAAAAAAACAGAACTTGTTATAGTGGGTGTTACATTGTATAATTATATTCACTAAATATATACCTAAGTTTCCAAAAACACAGCCGTTGTTTAGAAAATTCATATATAATTTGAAAATATAAACATGAGCTGCTATTTTAAAAAGACATGCATGTTTAGTTTTTAAAACCTAATTCGATATTTTATTTCTATCTTTAATTTGATTATTGATATGATATTTTGCCAAAGTCAAAATTTAATTTATCACATTAGTCGATTAAAAATTCTTAGTTATAGCACGGAGTTTATCATTTTCATATATGTATATACCTTTATCGTTTCGCATTTTGTGTTTTTTTTAAGTCAGATACAACTTGCCTAATGGGACGTCCATAAATTACGTGAGTTGTTTTTTTTAATTGTCTGTCCCTCCCTCCCCCCTTGGTGAGATTTCGTGAGATTTTACTTAACACCCACCCAATCCCCCAATCTCACGTCAGATTTTTCAAAATGTTGGTTTTTCAAGTAAACGCGTTGGATTGTATTGCAAAAAGAAAAAAAATCCATGTGCATGTACAATTAAATCTTAAGCATGTACAATCTGGAATAAATGAATTAGGAAGTCGGTAAATAACTCACCCCCTATTACATGGGACTCATAACATAAATAGTGAAAAGTGGGTGTTACATTGTACAGTGGTATAATATACACCTCTGCGTAGGCAGAGGTGTATATTATACCCTTCGAGAATTAAAGGCGTGATGATGTTACGTCAATATCTTAGGTTTATGATAAAAACAATGTTATTACAAAAGCTATTATATTATATTAGTACCTATTTCCTTATTAATTTTGTTGATATTTTTGTTTCGTTATTTTTATTTTTGAAGTGCAATTATAATACTTAATTTCACATATTTTTTCTTGTTTTATTTTTACTTCTTATCCTTGTACACACGGCTACACATTACTTTACATAACCAGTATAAACTGAATGTTAAATGTGCGGAAAGATGATGCGACGCGACAC